GCTTGACCATGGTCACTTCGCACTCGCGGATCCATTTGCGAGGGTCATAGTAGCCTAACTCAGGAGAATCTCTCATGGTTTGTGACATACTCATGCGGGCCCACAAACCTCGAAGATGCTCGGGCGGCTTGGTATATCATCTCTGTGTTACCAAAAGAGCTGTTGTGGGTCGTCAACACAACGTCTCAACCACCCAGAATTCAAAGCCAATGCATGCCGGGCAGCTCTTGTTCGGCTTGTCCTCACCTTCTGGGTTTCCAATCTGACCCTGCAAGTAGCCTCAGTGTCCGTCTCCATCACTCCTTGCATTCTATTCCATTCTGAGAAACGCACCCTCCTTGGCCTTGTAGAACTTCAGCAAGCCTTCCCAGTAGGCCCACTGCCTCAGCCCAGTGGCCAGTTTCTTCTTTCACTTCCATACACTGGGGTCACCTGCATGCCAACATTCCACTCCCTGTCCGTGTTTTTATATACTGTAACGGCTTTCACTGCAGAGGACATCTTCCAAAGAAACAGGCTACCCTGAGGACTCTCCAAAGGATCCCCTCTAAGGGGTCCAGTGCAAGGGTTAAGGACAGGTGCCAGTTTTGAGTCCATGCACCACGTAGGAAAGCACTTGTCGCATCAGCAAACTCCCTGTAGTAGTTACTAGTCACTAGTCAATCTCACTTTCAGCATCCAAGCTCTCGGCGTGTCAGTGTCCACGTTCATCTTGACGACACCTGCATTGAGAGCCTCAAAGGGTTGAATTAAAGAAATGAGTGGACACTTGCATGATCGTGCCAGTTCAAGAACACGACAGCATCCACAAATCTACAAGTAACAAGTAAAGTGCATTTGCTACCGTAAGCCTCTGGCAGTGGCAATGTGATGCTTCTCAAATCCAGATCCACCGTGGAAGACAAAGTTCAAAGGCCTGTTAATCGCAAACACATGGGTGGTACTGAACACTCCGAATACAAAGCTGTGTATATGTTTTGTAGTCTATATAGATGCCTTGTATCTCACTCTGAAAAAAAGGTCAGAGGTTGAATGAAAAACATTATATATATATAAGTGTATTACTTTCAGCCTGTCAATATCCTTGCCAGTGGATGCTTTGATCTGCTCCCTGGCGTAGTCTTGCATGTCCTTCGTGAAATTGGCTTTGAGGATTGCAGTGTCTATGGTAAACAAATGATCATAAAGTCCTGCAGTAGTTCGGGCTTCAGCACCACATTGCCTGCCTGTACACAAAATTGGTGTCTTAACCACTGATATCCACGAATTAGGATGAAAAATATTGCCTTATAGACTCCGTGGACATTGCCGAAGGCTGCCGCTATGGTAAACCTACACCAATTGCTCAGCGTGATTCTGCCACAAACAGTGCTTGAGAGCTTGGGCGCGGACATGGGAGAAATTGGGCTGAGGCCCTTGTAGACGGCAAACACATCTTGTGGGGTGGAATACAGCTTCTCCTTGCTAGGAACAAGAAGATACTAGGGGCTCCTGGCCTTACTACTAGGAACAAAGACGCTACTAGGGGCTCCTACTAGGAACAAGAAGCTAGTAGTAGCTATTTGCTACTCGATCAACATTCGAGACATGGAGTTTTTGACTCGAAGCTAGGGCATCGCAGGAGGACTCAAAAGCACTCCTTAGCGGCTCCACTGTTGTCGACACCATCCTCAACGCCACCTGTGATACCGATCTCCATCTCCTTAAGCAAAGCAACAGGTCTGCTTTGTGAGCAGAAGCAGTCACGGCATAATAAGGTCCATCCGTGAACCTTGATGGAGCCGAGATGCCAGAATAATCTTCATCGGGGCCATGCGCTTCAAATACCTTACAGGCCAGTCAAGCAATTGTCCAAAAAAGAAAACTTCAGACATTTCAAAGTACCGCTTCTAGCGGAGGTATTGACCATTTCCTGGTTTCATCTCCAATCCCACAAATGCGGGACGGGTGCTTCTCGCAAATCGCGATGTTTTCCTCATCTGGCTCCTCGGACCTGGTGTAGAGAAGTAAAAAACCCTTCATGATCCTTCATATCTGTATTGCAGTATATATACTGCAGTAAAATTCAACAAATGCATCAGATTCAAGCTTTCTGCGCACTCACTTGGTGCCCGACAAATCCAGCATGTGGGAAGAGAACAATGGCTCTCCATGTTCCTTGAAGTATGCTTCGTCTGCCTCCAACATACCTTGGTTGTTTAGTTTTAACTGCTTCAAATGTTGGACAAAGTTTACAAGCAGAGGCCAGTGCCGTCAAACCATGGCAACAACTTCTTTGCGCAGTGGTCCGAATGCACGAGGACCTGGCAACACATTGCCAAATCTGATGTCCTGCTGAAATGGTTGAATCTGCGGATTGCATGCTGCCAGCAATTCTGGTGTTGGCTGACCGGGATGCCGTAGGCCGGAGCCACTGCTCGTGCAAAGTGCGCACCCGCAACAGCTCCAAGGATTGAAGCCTTGCAAGGACAAAGAGTAGCTCTCTTCCAGTCATCGCAGTCATCTCACATATCCAGCGGCTCAATCGCTGTTCATCTTCCAATTCATGATTGCAAAATGTGTGGTTTTACCGCCGTGACAAATGGACCTGCCCACCTCAGGTAGCATTTCTTTCCCCCTCTCATCATCGTGTGTTCTGCAGATTGCAAAGCAGCAAGGCCTGCAGCTTGCCCTTCTCATTGGGCAACGACTTTCCTGCAACCTCAGGCAGTCGAGGTATGCAAAGGTCAATAAGTCGAGGACGTCAACGCGCAAAATTAGCTCCAAGCAATCACGGGAACATATAGCCCTCATGGCAGCCATATTGCACTATATAAGTAGCATGCAGTAGCTTTAGCTGTAACAGAGTGCTGTTCTGCCGCTAATGCACAAGCCTGAATGCTTCCCGGAGATAACTACAAGCTACAAACTGCATCGGTGTGAGCACAAGTAGCAGACGAGAACCCATTGTTTTGGGGATTTACAGGTACAATCCAAACCATCATCGTATCATATCGAATTTTTGGTTGCTGCTTCTTTTTCATCAAATCTTGCACGGTGCTTTCATGGACAGAATCTGGTGTCTCAGGCAGGACTGGGATCAGAAGGTTTGTTCCTTTTGTTGTTTGCTTGGGCGGGTTGCTATATAATTGCGTGTCCTTGTTGAAAGCAGCTTCGTCCTCCACTTGTCATTCTGTGACGCGTGCAAAGTTTACAAAATGACTTTCTAGATGATGCTGTTCAAGTTTGTTCATCTTTTGCAGATACCTTTTTTCAAATCTGAAAAGGTTGAATCGCCGAGCTGCGAAGGCAGAGCCTCCTTCCGAGAATTGAATCATCACAGGTCGGTTCAGCTCCTGGAAGGGTTCTATCGTTTCAAATACAGTACAAAGATCACACACCATGAATCCAATCCCATTGTGCAGATGTCTTCTCATCTGTCTCTTCGGCGCAGGAGTCCGGTCCCAACATATGAAAAGTCTGTATCTGCCACTACTGAGCACTGCCCAAACTCCCATTTCAGTACAGTCCTTGCCAGCTTCAAGCACTGAATTGATAGTGCTGGAACCTCACAACAAAGCTTACTGTAAGGCTTTGCTCGCACATTCATGGACCTGAGATAATGAGATTCTGAGAATCTGTTTCTCTCAGGCTTCAACTGGTGCAGTTGAAGGCTGGGATGGCATATTTGTGCTCCTGCCAAAAGTCAAAACAATCGAAACTCCGCAACGTGGTGAATATACTATACTTCAATGCTTCGGAGCTTAACATGCTCATCTCTCCTTGGCATGCTGCAGCAGGGACCAAGCCAGGTCTCCCGTGACCACACCAGCCTGTGCTGGGTTCCAGGTTCTAGCTGCTCTGTATAAACTGTGCGTTGTAACTTGAAATCTCGGCTCCGCCTTCATGCCTGGAATGTCCCAGAACCTTAGCTGAGTCTTACAACACATCTGTGAGAGTTACATGCTACCAGCCTGGTAGCAGCTGCCATGATTCGGTGATGAAATGCATGCAAGCCACGACATGGTTGTGACAGGCACCGGCGCTATGCGAAACAAATGCGTGTCAGCCAAAGGAGCTTCAGGTTGCTGCAGGAGTAGTACAAAGGCTGCTACACTAGCCCACAATTCTGTGACCAAAGATGCTTTCTCCAACAGGATCGTTGTCACCTAAAGACTTCGCCTTGCCTGCAAACGCAGCATGTCTTGCTTGGCTTTGTTAATTATTTTTGGGCCGTCAGCCCCGCCGTGAGAGGTTCTCCGGGTTATACTTTCTAGTTTTGCATCTGCGGGTTGGCGAGTAATTATATATATATACTATACTGTATGCTTGGAACATATGCTTCTTTCCAAAGTCATGTGCCAGGTGGCATGGATCACTTGGTGCGCAACATTCGACTCACTTGGTGAGCAACTTTCGGCGTCTTTTGCCAATTGCCGCGCTAACATGCTGGGCACACTTTGCCGCGCTTTGACCCCTTGACAGCTCGTGGAAAGCCATGAAACAGTGGAGACATTCTGCAGTGATAGGAAGAGTGCGAAAGCCAAAGAGCGCCTGCTATGAATATCCCCTGTCCCTAGGAAATGATAGTGCCACTGTGGACACCAGAAAAAGCTAAGAAAGAACAAACCAAAGTCAATTGAAAAATAAGAATAATGCCCCTTTTTGGGCGCAGGTGCTAAACAAGCACTGGAAACTTAGCATGCTTCCAGCAACACAAAAGCTAAGACTTGAGAGGGGGGCCCAAGGACGAAAGCTAGACTACAAAGGGTAAAGCAAGCTGAAGGAAGTTGGGCACAGTTGGGCTGAAGGAAGTGACGATTTTGCGACCTTGGTTGGACCGTGCTGTTGCATGTAGTTTGTTGCGAATTGTATGCGCAAATGTTGACGCTTGAGTGGCGCTTTAGTGCTCGCAGGGCCGTCGGCCACAACTTTCTAGCCATTTTCGAACCACCTTTGACGCTGTTGTGCGTGCAGCACCGTTGCCTATGCTTGCACTTCAGGGCGCTGCAAATTTTGGCGCTTTCTCGGCGTTATGCACGGTGCCGTTGGCTGCAGATTTTGATGCTTTTAGCCAGGCTGCCCGTGATCTTCCCACGTTCCAGGTTCCACGTCCCAACACATCTCGAAGCCCCTGGCTGCTAAGCAAGCCTTGGCAAATGATAACTCAAGGTTTGGCCTGGCGGCTAGCTTTCGTGATTTGAGGCGCTTCAAACCGCCTTTGAACCTGTTGAACCTTTTGAACCCATTTAACCTGTCGGCAAAACCTTCTTCCGCAGAAGTGACAAACGTTCCACATGGAGCAAAGACCCGTATTTTTATGTGGATGTTAAATTTTTATTGTCTGAAACAAGGCGCTCAATGACAACCCTGGCGAGAACTTGACGTGGAGCCTCTGCACCCCAATTGTATGTGTACAAACCACACCACACTACCTTGCAGAAAGAGATAATTGTGTAACGTTTTCCTGGCTAATGCATGCCAGAGATGTTTCTTTGTCCAGCATCGACATCTCCGGATTTTGAGGGGTACCATTTGTTGAGCACAGAACTTCATTGCTTCACTCGATGGCCTCCAACCTACTAGCGATGGCCTCCAACCGTTACTAGCGATGGTCTCCAACCTACTAGCGATGGCCTCCAACCTGCTAGCGATGGCCTCCAACCTACTAGATTCTTGCCACCACTCAAAAGCATGATTGCATAAACCATGCCTCTTGTCGCTCACGCTCCTGGGAAGCCAGTGGTGCAGGACGTGCAGGTGAGCCCCAGTCAAAAAAGGATTGGCGTGAAAAGCATTCTGAACATGCGAACTTTCGTCAAACTCAAGATCTTGGACCTTCAACCCATATCCGTTCAATCCTGTGTCCAAATCCCTATCGTGAGCTTTGGAAGAATTTGGGCAGCATTTGGAGGAAACGAATAAGCTCGCGTGACACCCAAAAACAATCTTCCGAATAGCTTCTTGTTGAATGCCTTTCCCTTCAAACTTGTGCCACCTGCACTTGGTTCCCTGAGAACGCTGGCTCGGGACAAACCCGAATGATCAATTGCACTCGGGACAACGTTCCAAGTTCCAAACCATTTCCCGCGCTCGCCTTCTCTTCAAGCTGGCGGCGAAGCTCAGCAAGCTCACCATCCGCGTTCCCCTCAAAAGCATTGTCTTGCGTTCGTTTCATGCGGTACACAGAGGTCTGTCTGCCCATCAACTAGGGACTGCAAAGGGGTGTCACACACGAAGAGTGGGCAAACAAAAAGGCTCTTGTTTTTTTGAATGCCCTTATGGATGAGCCTGCATTGGTCTTCGATATGATCGTCCTTTCGGTGGCATGCCCATGTGGGACCGCGAGTATGCATGTGACAATGTGTGGGCGCGACAAGTCAACTTGGGATTGAAATACCAGGCTTGATTTGCCGTTCCCGTCAGTGGTGGGTTTTGAGAGGTTCTGGTCGGCAACTTTGCATCTTCGAGGCACGTCATACAGTGGAGCTTCTGTTCTTCGTCATGCTGAGCCGCAAAGCAAGGGTTTTGGCCCATGGGTTTACCATAATATATATATATATCTTTATTTATCTATTTGCCAAAGTACCGTATAATATACCTGTGCAGCGTGTGTCTGGAGACACAAGTAGCGGTGGGCAAGGAAAACAAAGGCTTGCTGCAGGGATACAGTGTGCGTGTTGTTTGTACATCAATAAGCTTTTTCGAGTCAAAACGTCAAATATCGTTGCAGTTGCGTTGCCACACCAGTTGTCCTTCTGAACTTTGTTGCAAATTGGCATAATCTTTTGTGGATTCACCTGCGTCTGCTAAACGTATGGCTGCACCGAGGCATGGCTTTCATCAAGTTGAGCTACCAAACCAACAAACCTGAAATCTTCAAAACGACAAAGGAACAGTCTAGGTCCACAGGCAATCTGTATCCATGGCGAGACGAGCAAATTACAAACAATATCAAGCTCCGTTTATCCTGGACTTTCAATAAACAAACTGACAGCTCCTTTTGGGAGACTACACAACCTGAAACAATCTAAATTCAGCTATCCAAGGTGGCCGATGTCCTGATTCCCTAAAAGCCTAAAAGCTCTTTTTGATTGGGACAACGTGCGTTGTCGTTCGGCCATCCGCTCTACCATCTTTCCTTGTGCTTTTACTATGGCTCGTTTCGGTCAAGGTGATCCCCGAGGTGTTTCACCAAGCTCTTTACATCTTTGTCTCGAAATTGCTTCTCTTCTTGACTCCATTCAGAGGCACCACTCCTAAGGAGTAGGCATCTATGAAAAATGCTCTTCTGTGTGTCATCCCGGTAATGTGAATATGTGTCATCCAGGTAGTTTCAATGATCAGTGACAAGGGCCGACACCGCTGCATTGGCGTTGTGCCTTATCTTCTCCCTACGGTCTTCCCGACTGACAAAGGTGTGCCTTCCGGCCAATCCGAAAGGGTGCAAATCCATCGTTCCGCACCTTGGCACGCATCAGCGCCAAGAGCTGCGAAGCCTCCTGGCGTTTTGTTTTGTTGGTTGTCACCAGGTGGTGGCTGAAGGGAGCCGGGAGGGCGCTCTTCCATCTCTTGATGGAATCCAAATCTCCAACCTCAAATGCGAAAACTGGCTAACGAAAAAGGAACGGCTCCCGCTGCGAAGTTTGAGGAACCATACAAAAGCGAAGAGTAAATCGCTCGATCCACCTAGGTGCCCTACGGCTTCAAAGGCCGCCAGCCTCAGCCCAGCGGTGCCCAGCGGTGCCCAGCCATACTTCTTAGACGAACACTGTCTTCTGAGAGACACTCTCGAAGCTGCAACTGCCTGAGGTCCCCACCTCTCTCGCAGCTGCTTGGCCTCTTCCTTGGCCCTGGCCTCGGTTCACTAGGCGCCAGGAGCACGATGCGTTTCAGTTGGGGAGGTGTTTTAAAGACTTTCAATTGGTCCTAAGGCCCATTGAATGCAAAATCCAAACAAAACCTTACCGGAAGAAAAGTGTTCATGGACTTGTTGAGCTTCAGGCCAACTCGTCTTCTCGTCTCTTCAGCCTGTCTTCTACCTCAAGGAGGGAAGCGGGAATTGAAATAGTACACGAGCACCCATATATATATATAACAATAATAGTAGGTCCACCTCTAAACGCTGGCCTCATCGAGCCTGGAAGCTTTTGCTCGAAGGTCCAGAAGCTCCTCAAACAGCTACAAAACGGCTCCATGTTTTTTGCCTGCTCCTAGGAACAAGTGCATCGCTACTAGTAACAAGTGCCTTACTAGTAGTAACAAGGTTCGCTACTAGAAACAATATACTCTAATTTTCGTTTTTGTTTTCTTTAGCCCGGACGGGGGGGTAGGCCGCGGTAGGCCGAGGAAGAGGTAGCTAATAGCTTGAATAAGCTACGTATGGACGCAGGATAGTTCACGCTTCTACAAGGAAGCGCTCGCACCAATGATTTGGTTCCTAGATGTTTTGGGAGATTTGACTATTGTGCTGCAACTTGCTCAATCGTCCACTAGCGCATTCAAAGCGCAGATTTCATTAAGTCAAGCGCGTGGTCACCAAGGAAGGATATATCCTATCTACGGAAACTTCTTATGGGACTTCAGTACTCACTGACATTCTGGTTGGTCCCACTCGTCCTGATCAACTCGTAAACCAGCATACTGTTTTGTACTGGAAAGAAAATAGCAGCTGCACATTGCAGGACTTCATATCTTTGAAGCTTATCTGCCATGAGCTTGCCCCCTCCTTCTCCCCGGAAGTGTGCCCCGCCAGAAAGTCCTTCATAGCCTTAGCCATGCCAATCACAACGCAGTATGTCGCCATGACCTACGAGGGTTGGACAGCTGCACTGTCCAAGAGATACTCCAAACCAAGTTCGCGGAAGGCCTTGGTCGAACTCTCTCCCTCTCTTGCTCGAGGACCACACTGCCTAAAACCTGAGTACTTGCAAAGCTTGCTCGGTCTGAGCCATCAAACATCCCGCAGCTTGGCATAGTTGCGAAGAAAACCCTTGAGGTTGTACGGGTCCTCAAGTGGAGTCCAGACAGGCTGCAGCAACTCGCCTTTTACATCATGTCAATATTGAGTCAGAATCGACAAAAATGATCTTGCTGGGTTTCCAATTCAAGTGCCATATCCTCTCTCCGTGCCTCGAAGAGTTCCGAGAAGCCGAACTCTTCGAAGGCTTTCCGCAAGCCCTGGTGGAGAAGCGAAACCACGGAAATGCTGTTTCCTCTCTGACACTCGGACCTCGTAGCGAGAGAGCACCTCTGCCAGTAGCGAGGGGTCCTCCAGACTTTAGGTCGTCATAGAAACAGTTGAAATAATAGATTCAATTAGATCATCAGAGATCACTGAGAAAGAGCTCCTTAAAAGCATCACCCAAGCCATTTTTCTCGAATATCTCTCTAACCCTCAGCTGCACGGATCATTTGCAGACGTGTGCTCTCAAGATGAATGCTCAAAGAATGCAGTCTTAGTCTCTCGTAGTCACTTTGTTTCAGAACAAGGCAGGATCTCTCTGAACAAACTTCTGGGCGTCCAACTGTTTGAGCAAGTCCAGCTGCTTTCGTAGCTCCTGGAGCTTGTACAACCGACGGATCCAAAAACTACGTCACAAAATGGCCCTTTCTGCCATCTGCCGTGAACAAAAGCCAACTGATTCACGGAAACAGCATTGTCCCTTGTCTGGTGTTTCTGATTCACAATGAGCAAAGCCTTTGCCAGTGGGCCAGTGTCGGTATGCCTCCAGTTTGGAGGGATCGTTGAAGACATCCCCAAAGCCGGCTGCCTCAAGGAAGACTGGAGAAATGCAACGCTTGTCAATTTGGATTCGGACCAAGCAATGTCGATGTGGCCTCGAGCATCTCTTTCAACTCTTTCGCAGAGCTCAGAAACCTTTTGAGCTCCTGCGCAGCGCTTGAAGGGAAATCTACTGGATACCCAACACGTGCACTCATCTGTACACATCGCTTTGCATCATAGCATAGCATATTGGCATAAACATGTCAGCATTTCTTCACTTCATATGTTGTGGCACCTTGCATAGCCACACATAGCTATTGAATCTTAGTAAATGACATCGAGCCTCAACATGTCTGGTCATTTGAATGTCTTTGCTGGGTTGTCTGACCAGAAAAAGGCCATATTGTCCTCTGGATTCTTCAGTAAGTCGTCTAAGCCGAGGTCGGCGAAAGCCTGACAGTTGAGGATGAAGGTTCCTTTCAAGCTGGAAGCAAGCAAGTTGTGTGAGAAGTGCAGCTGCCACAAAATGCGAAAATACAGCAGGCCATGAAGCCTATCAAAACTAGTCTGGGCAGATGGGATCCCACCTCCAGCACCTTGCGGAGCTCCTGAGGCTAGCAGACTAAAGTTTACATAATCCCCCCAAGATGCTAAGCAAAAAGCAGCCTTGTAAGCCCTTGAAATAGTCAAGCAGGGCAATAACTAATGACCCATTGAAGTTTCTACCGCCCTGCTGAGTACGTAGAATCGGACTTCAAAAATGCGCCACACCCACCAAAAAAAGAAAAGATGATCAAGGCCTCAGGATTCTCCAGGAAGTTCTCCAAACCCAGGTCTTTGAAAATCTGTCAGCCGGACTGGGCTTGCTCACTATCATTTGCAGTCAGGACCGGGCACCTTTTCCAGAGCTTGCCCTCGACGAAGAAAATCAGCCAGGGCCTTGTTGAGCGACATGTTAGCACTGGAGTTACTAGTAGCTTCTTGTTACTAGTAGTAAGGCACCTTGCTACTGGTCCTCGCTACTAGTAGCGATGCACCTTGTTCCTAGTAGCTTCCTGTTGCTAGGGCCCGCTGGAGTCAGGCTAAGCTGAAGACCTCCGGATCTTCCATCAGTTTGCCTGCACTCTTGGTGTCGGTGTCTGTCTACATCTCTTTGCCAGTTCTACACTCAAACTCGTTCCGTCGTTCCGTGGTCTTCTGAGAGAAAAAACTTGATACCACACATGACTTCCAGCTTCGAGACACGCCTAGACCCATCTCTTCAAAAAGTTGTCTGATGCCAGCAAGTTCTTCCTCCGTTTCAGCAGACTTGATTTCTGAGTTCGTCGAGGGCATTGGTTCCCCTCTACGGTCTGTGGTATGATTGTTTTGTCTTGTATGTATAAGTAATCCAATGAATAATCGGTCCTCCAGCGCTTTGCACTTTGCATCGAGCTCTTCTGCATTGGCCCTTGATTTTGCCAAGTCATTTGCAAGCGCCTGGTAACCCAGAGGCTTGCAACCAAGGACACCGCAAGTGAAATCTCTGAAAGCCTAACCTCCAACTGGTTCTTGTACTCTTGAGCTGAAACTGCAAGCTCGTCCTGCAATGAAGAACCATAGGTGCAACAAGACACTTATTAAAGACACGAATGCAGCAGCGTCTTCTTGCCTCCAAGACTGATTGTCTTTTGACAAACTCGTCCAGTCGCTTTGCCCGGACCTGCAACACAAAGAAACATCTCCTGGGTGCTGCAACAGGAGACAATCTAAGGACAGAAGAATATGATGCATTACATATTACAGTATCACAGTATCGCATATGTCTGTGAGTGTATGCAAATAACCTGACACGTTATCATTGGCTGACTGGCTTGTGGGTCCATTAAGAAGTGTCTTGTTGGCATGGTCGTCGGCCTCCTCTTCCTCTTCAAAAAGGCGATTTGCTGCTTTGAGCTCATCGAAATTCGGCACTTCGCCGCGGATTGTGTGACGCCAAACCTTCAGCTTTTTGTCCCCAATGGAGGTGGACCACACGATTTTGGTTTCAACTCGATCCACCGTGAGCAGGTTGGAGACATAAGGCTCGTGGGCAGGATGCTCAGCTGTTTTGAAGAAATCAGCTTGGGAAAAGACTTGGATGTTCGGGTGATGTCCGCATGTCCAAACATCATATCCCAAAGGAACAATGGCATAAGCACCTTTGTCGAAGCCCTCCGGCGCAATTTGGCGGACACACTCACGGACAGGGCCACCGATCGTCCACTCTCGGATATACCCATCAGATCCGGAGGACCATATAAAGGATCGAACAACCGCAAGCTTTAAAACAGATCCTCCATGCGCCTTGTCCACCGTCTCGTTACAGTTGCCTGTCGCTGTGCACCACAATCGGATGCTGCCATCATCAGAGCCTGACCATAGTGTAGGGCCAATGCGAATCAAACACCGTACACCGTTCTTGTGGCCGTACATCTGCAGGCCCTTGGAGATGGCTACCTTGAACTTCCCAATATCAACGATAAATGCATCCTTCAAATCCTTCAAATGTTCCGGTTTTGCCTCTTTGCTTCGCCACGTTTCAATCGTCCATTGTCGAATAGTAAAATCGTTACTTCCACTCCAAGCCCGCCTCCGGGGGATTGCACCCTTCTCGACCTCCGCTCCATCGAGAGCATCTCCAGAAGCCAGGCAAGTGACACCACCCGTGTGGCCACCAATCAATGACCCCTTAAATTCCTTCCGTTTGGTGTCAAAAAGCGAAATGCCCATCGCCTCCTGCTCCATCCACATCAAGTGCGGCTCCATGTGCAGCATGCTCCAAACAAATCGGTTCGTGGGAATTTCACATCTCACTTTCGTGGCATCGTCGCGTTCTCTCACCGTGACATTTCCGGCCCAGTCAACGGTCCAAACTTCCATTCCGATGCAAATCGCATTGCGTACAGCCAAGCCCATTTCAAGAGTTTGTACGCAAGACATTCCTTCCTCTTCCACTCGAGCCTTGGCTTTAGGGGCTGGCCTTGCAGTTTGTTCCTTTGGTTGGGAACTCACCGCAGGTGGTGAACTTCCAGGTCGTACCACGGGCTTCGGTTGAAGAGGAACTTCTTTTTTCGGCTTCGCCTTGGGCCTCTTCTCGGTCTTTTCTTTATCTTTCTTTTTGCCCTTTTTACCTTTTTTGCTTTTGGTTGGCTCAGGTTCTGGAACCTCTGTGACCGCATCCGCTGGGGCAGTTGTGACCGCGGCTTCTTGGTCAGTCTTGTCCGGCCTTGACTCCGGTTCTGCCGCATCTTCAGAAGGCTCGAGACGTAGGGTTCCTTCAAGAGCGGAAGCATCTACTGAAGCATCTGCTGGAGCATCTGCTGAAGGATCCGCTCGCTCCTCTTTCTCAGCTGAAGCCATTGGAGCTGCTGGAGCTGCTGAAGATGCTGAGACTGCTGGTGCACGGCCTGATGCTTTTCCCACTTTGTCAACATCTGATTCCACGTCGTCCGCTTCTTCATCTTCGTCAGCTTCGTCCTCTTCATCTTCATCTTCGTCTTCATCATCTTCCGCTTCGTCTTCCTCCTGTTCTTCTTGGCTCACGTCGTCAGCTTCTTCTTCAACATCCTCATCTCCAGAATTCTCATTTTCATCAAGATCAGCTTCCTCTGTTGGAGGTGGCTCAACTTCACCAGTTGAGACCTTCCGTGTCAAGGTCCCCTCTAGCTCACTAGCTACCCTCGTCAACGTTGCAGTCAGCTCCAGACTCATGGGATCCGTTTGAGTTGCCTCAGGCTTTTCAGGCTTTTTTTGATTTGCCCTCCGTCCAGCAAATATTCTTGCACGCGGCGGTGCTGGTGCCCGAGTTTCACGAGATTGAAGTTCTGCCTGCTTGTGCTTGAGTTCTTCCAAGCGTGAATTGTAGTCATCTCGCAATGTCGAAAAATAGCCGACCATTTGCTCAAGGACATGAGTGCGCATCCCTAAGTCATCCTGTGATGTTGCCTCAGGCTCTGCATCCCCAAAAGACTGCCGAATCTGACACTCCTGCTGGACCTGTGCAAGGGCTGCTGCAAGCTTCCTGGTTCCCAGAAGTCCCCGGATTTCGTTGATCTCTTGCTCGAATTCAGCTCGGTCAATCTGCTGATTACTATTGAGATCTATCCGGTTGAATGCATCATCTGGATCTGCAGTGTAGTCCTCTGACAGCTGGGCCAAGTGCTTTGCTGTTCTCCTGAACTCCTGCAGCCCAATTGTCTCTTGACCGTTTGCCAAGATTTCAAACACCTGACTCGTGAGCTCAGCGACATTGGTGGCGTCTAGAGAACCACTGCCAGCGAGGCTTCTTGGAGTTGGCTGTACGGACATGATCCGGCAAAAGTCTAAAGGAGAAACACATCAAAACGCTTGCAGGGCTATAAGATACCTGTATTCCACTATGGAGTGTCCTTGTGCGGCGTGCATATGCCGCATGTATCATCTTTTGTGTTTGCGGAATCTGTTTCAGTGGGTCTCAGTCTGTGCTGCAAGGCACTGTACTGTGTTTGCTGTTGATTCTGTCAGGAAGGCTGTTGAACCCAAGTGTCGAACAATTCTGCACGTTTTGCCTTGTGCACGTGCAATGCATCTACATTGTACGGCACTAGATTCTCTGTGGATAAACACTGTTTTGCAACTCAAGAGCAACAGGTTCGATATACACATGTTCGACGGACTGATTCTCTGGTTCATTGGCATGGCATCAACGAAACTGTGAATCTATACTTGGCCAAGAATCAGAAGCCTCAGAATGCTGCATTTGCAGCCAAATTCATTTACAAGCCCAGCGAGCGTTTTCACGCAAGGCTTTTGAAGCAGCTGGCAAGAACTCTGGCCTTTTTCGCCACGGTTCATACCAACCCCAACAAGCGGATGCCGTTCAAATAGAATAACTTCTTCTCTTGCTTGGTTTTACAATGGAGCATTTGACTCCGCTTTCGACGACAAACACGCGGCACAGGCGCCACTGGATGAACTGCCCTTTGCACTCATGCCGGATCAGAAGAGCTGGGCCTTAGTTGTCAATCCAGTCAATACCAACTGCCCGGCCACACCATGCATGGGCAGTTTGGCCGGGCTCAGGTTGCGGCGCCGGTGGCGCAGCTGCTTTCCAGCTGCGCTTGGTGGTCAACTTCTTTCTGCCTGGGTTGTTGACCTCAGGCAATATAGAAAACGAGAATTCTATGAAGCAAAGAGGACGAATAGCGTAACAGTAGCAGAAGTAACTTGAAGTAACTGAAGTAACTGATCAATCAGTCACTTGACAGCCTCTTCCAGGACAGCAGCGGCAGCTGCTCGATTTTGATCAAGAAATTGCCTCATCCTTGGGTGCAGCAGCCATCGATTCAGCTAAAGGAGCGGGAAAAAACAAACTCAAATTGGGAAACCTCTAGGTTTCACGCTCGTCCAATTCTGGCCAGATTCTGAAAACTGAACCTTACAAATTACAAAGGCAAGCTTGCTGAATGGATTCTGCTCATGAGGCCACGGTGAACAAAACTTCAACAGGGGCTTCGACTGGTGAAAGGGATGATGACAAAGTCAATGAAACCCAACAAGGACCTCGGTCAGCCATAGAGGGCCATAAGCGGGAGCTGCGTTCAAGATACTCAAACGCCACACCGAACATGGCAAAGTCAACCTCAACAGCTGGGCTCTGAGCTTTGCAGCCGCAGCCGGGTCTCTGAGCCCAGACATGAAGGAGGTGACCTAAAGAAAACTTCAAGGTCAAGAGGCCTTTCTTTTTTAGCCCGCTTACTAGTAGCGATGTACTTGTTACTAGTAGTAATCACTTCTTCAAGGTCAAACAAAGCTTTTCTTGCTCTGTGATCCAATGCGATCAATTGAGCTCCAAAAGGAACGCAACATCAAAGAACCAAGTGAACCAAGTTGGAGCCTTGGACCAACAAGGCCATCATTGGCACATCGGTTGAGTGTCATGCGGGCAATCCAAGTTCTGCTTCCTTCTCGGCCTGGCTGAAAGCTCCGAACCAATTCTTGGCAAGATGGCTTTGGACCGCTCAAGGCTCTGTGATGCATCTGCTTGCGCACATCACAACTCTTCCAGCCTGCAATGTGAACTCCTCGTTCAAGCAGGCACACCACCTGGCTACGCACGTAAAGGGGTCTCATCTCCATCTCACCCCCTTACGTGACAATTTCCAAGCACAGCATGAAATGAAAAATAACTGAGGATCAGCCCGCCATTTGCACACAAAAGAAACGCACACTATCACTAAGCCGCAGACTTTTGAGATGGTGCAGGGGGCATAAATGGATTGCTGATATCTGCCTTGGACTGCAGCACTTGCACCACCGCATCGATCCAATAGGACGGAATGTTTTGGGTCCCTGCAGCATGAAGGACCACCTCAACCAGGAACTGGCTTTGCGATTCAGAAGGTTCGCCCCTCAGTTCGCTTCTGGCCGAGGTGCGTGGAGCCAAGACAAAGGGGTCACAGTATTCCAAGCCCAAAGAAAGCTCTCACTCTGAACAGCAAAGTTCTTCCTTCCAAGAATACTGAGAAGTCTTTGCAAACAGCTTCAGCATGCCAGCAGCAGTGGTGGAAAAAAGGCTCAAGAGTCTTGGCGAGGTCCAGACACTTCGAACTCCTTCAATATGGTTACCTTGGAACGGCAATCACGGTTTCAGGTTTCAGGAACATGAGGCTACCTCGAAGCTCAGGATCTCGCATGCTGACCGTGGTGTTTCATGTCAGTGGCAAGGATGCCTCTCACGGTAACGTAAGTTGCACGGCTTCTTCAAAATGCGTTTGCAATCTCCACCTGCAATCATTCTTTTGCGAATGAGGTTGTAGTTCGCCTGATCCAGGTCCTCGGTTCAGATGAATGGGTACTCGGCCGAGCCGACTTGTTTGGGAGAAGCAACCGAAGTGATGGAAACCTCTTGGGTCCACAGTAACCTTTTTCGGATGCCTATAAATTGGTTTCAAACGTGCTTGGAAAAAGAAAATGCATTGGTCGCCAAAGCCCAGTCGGTGTCGTCGGTCTTGGCTCCAAACCTGGAAAAAGTTGCATTCGTCCTTGCTGAGGGCGATTTCAAAAGTCCTCCGCTCAGAATTCTGAGCAAAAATGCGAGTCCACATACCACATAAACAAACTGCCAGTTTCTAGACGACCGCTTTCAAAGTCCGGCAGAATTTTGAGAAACGAGTTCTGCCAAACCGAATCTTTGCGGCAATCGCTGCTCACGGCTAAGGAGGGCCGTGGTACCTTTTGGTGCAATTCATAAGCCACTACGTTATCCACATACCAACTCCTGTATCTGATGCTCCCTTAGATCTTACCCCATGAAAGCGCAAACCAAGCTTGATAGCCTGGATGAAACACAAAGTCTCGGATCAGTCAGCCTTGCACAGTGGTGATTCTCCAGGGGCGAAGAGTCATTGTAGCGAAGCCTTTCAAACAAGACACAAAACCACCACAACTACTACAAACATCAGCTCCAAGTGAAGCAATTCATTTGCAGCTGTAGCTTGGCACTGAAGAAAATGTCATAGCTCAGGAGCAAACGCAAGCTCACTACGGGTCATTATCTCGAAAGCATTATTGTACCTGGTGCTTTTGTGCCACACGTCCGGTACATGGCACATGAGCTTAATCATTTTGCAGCGGGTGCCATCCACACAGGGTTCTGGTTGGCTCAAGCCCAACGTTTGCTCAACATACTGTCTCAAGCTTAGGGTGCCCTCGATGATCAACATCATGACAAAGAGCTGCCATCTCAGCCAAAGCTCTGCTGCTCGAGCTCTGCTTGTTTGCAATCGTTTCCAAAAATGTTTGCATGAAGGCTTCTGTGCTTCCAGGGATGTGACAATCATAGCAAACATCTCCGCGTGGCCCAAGTGCTCCCATAAGCGTGAAACCTGCAACAGGCTTTGCGTGCTAGGGCATGCATCCTCCATGGATCACATGGCGTTCACCCACTTCCAGCAACCGAATTGCTTGCACCTGGATCATCTTGAAGGTATAGTGAAGCGTAGACATACCATGGTGGAAGTTATGGAACCTGACCCGTCTGACTGTCTCCCGACTCGGTGGCCTTTACTGCCTCTATTCAGCTTGTTTTGCCAATCAGGCAGGAAGTCGACGACCCTCAGCCTGAAACACTGATGAAAGTTATATAAGCATCAGGCGGAATTGCCCTGTAGCTGGCCTTGACGGCCTGAGGAATCTACACTTTATCGCAAAGCTGCAGTAGACACTGGATTAGAAAGCCTTACGGCCTTGCCTGAAAATAATGAAGAAGAACACCTTAGACTGTCACAGGCATCCTTGCAAAAAAAACGACTTGCACATACCTTGAGCACTCCACCTGGTGCAATCGTGACATTGTCAAAAACATGAAGCCTCGAGTTGCAGAAGCTGAACTGGTGCCAAGAGGGGTTGCTTTGTGGTAAGGTTCACCAAGTCTAAGGAAAGTTCTGGTGAAGTGAATTGATCAGCAGGGTAATCTCATCTTGAGGAGTAAAGGCCTCATGTGCAGGTCAGACATGTTCGGTTTAACTGTGAAGTAAAGGATTTTTGCAGGCAAAGGCACCCAGTAGTCAATGTCCCATGCAGTGACATCTGCATAGGGAGCAGGGGTTAGATTCCTGCCAACGCATCAAAAGCGTCCCCACATTGACTAAGGACCTATACATATATATATATATATATACTGCAAATCTCCTGACGCTCTCTGCATCTGCATCAGACAGCACCTCATTCTTTAATAGAATAGAAGCTTTGTGGCAGGGTTTGGCAAGGTCCACCCTTTGTGCAAGTGTCTGTTCGACAAAACTCGATACCAAGCCGGCCAAGCGGCAAGTTGAAGGCCCTTCGACCCGTGAAAGTTCAAAGCCTAAGGCCACAGGCTGAGATGCAGTGGCAGAGAGGACGCTCATGTGGGCAAAGAGGACGCTCATTGTGCAAGATCGACTCCAACACTGTCAAACAAACGGTCTCACTCCTCACCAAACTCACCAAAACGCTGTTATGGTCTACGACGGGAACCGGAGCCACTAGAGGTCTTTTTGCGACGCACGAACCAAGGATGGAGTGCCTCAACCAATTCTCTGAGTCTTTGACGGATGCGACGTGCCCAACAAAGCGATGTACAGTAGCAGTTTCTCGTACTGGTCCCACTTTTGCCTGGCGAAACACACAGCTCCTGGTGTCCAACATAGAGGTCTAAAACCCAAGCAAACGAAGGAACTATGGAGAACAAGGGACAGAACAACTTTGTCTTAGGTTGGAGGCCATCACTCTTAGGTGGATGGAAGCCATCGCTCTTAGGTTGAAGGCCATTAAGTGAGAGAAATTGTCTG